AAAAATTATTTAATAAATATATAGGCGGGGTTGATCGAAGCAAGTGTTAGTAAATATGCAACGAATGTTTATCAATTATTCAATAATTATATAGGCGACTTTGATCGAAATGCGTGTTAATCAAGCTTGTAAAACGAATGTTTATCAATTATTCAATAATTATATAGACGGGTTTGATCGAAATGAGTGATAGAGACAATTTATACGGTTTATTTATTATTTAACTTTAATCAATATAAAGTCAGAAGTATAAATAAATCATTAATAAAATAACATTCCAGCAATTTTTTCAACTAAGGTTCTTAGTTCTAGAGCACTCTTCAAAAATTCTTCAACAATTTGGCGTGAGGAAATTCGTAAAGGTATAATAATCTCACAAATTCGATAAACCCGGTAAAAAGCACCTTCGAATAGATCTAACACGGAAACGAATATGCGTTCTCCTATCACTTGAATCCCTAAGATAGGGATTTTTCCCAATTCGTGGCGTATTATTCTTGCTCTGGAAGAAGTACCATCCTTCTTTTCGAAAAAAATATTATATCGTTCATCGAAACAATCTTTCTTTATCCTGTTTGAGAAATAATCGCGAAATCTCTACTAGAACTAGCTCATTTTCCTTCATGTCCAATTTTCAATAAAATTTGAAGATCGGGGTTTTCCCTAAATTAATAGATCCCATTCGATTTTTTCTGCTTTGTGAAGATTTACTCATTTGTTCGGACCATGCACGTTTTAGATGCCATTTAGAATATGTAAGAGCGGATCCAGTACTTTCGATCCGCTCTTACATAAGCATTCTCGCTATAATCATCTTCTGTTAGTAATGGTCTACAACTCCAAATATGGCGCCTAGAATTTAAAATATTCAGTAGATTGTTAATGATATGAAAATGTTCGAAGTTTCGTTATTAACTTACAATCCTTCTAATAAATCGAAAGTAGTCATTAAAATGCGTCTAGTTTCGAGCGACACTTCTCCCTGGGGGAAACTTATAGGTTGCATTAATGCGGGATCGAAATCGATTCTAAAATCACTATATGAGCTTACGAATTCATTTAACATTGTACTAATTTGGTTGGGTAATTTGGTAGTATGGAATGAATGTCTCGATAAAATTTGTTTTGCTCCAAAAGATAATAGCTTCACAAATGGATCTTCGCTCCCCGTAAGATCAATCACTCCCGATGCTATAGGAGTTTTTACTTCAATGGTTCCCAAATCTAAACGTTGTAAAATGTTAACTACCTCGGTATATACACTTAAGCTATCTTCCGAGCATTCGCCTTGTATCTTAGTACTCTAAAATAATTAATTTTTATTAGAAAATCCGACAATGTTAATATATGAGACCCCAAAAAAATCTAATATAATTACTTACACATTTGCCCAATATAAAATTAATATTCTCTCGAATTATAGCTTTATTTTGCTCTTTTTCGTCCAATTGACGCTAGAATAAAACATTACTTTAGTTATTTTTGTAAGAATTACTTTTCTAAAATTAATTTAAAATACTCTTACTGTGAGATAGTAAAATAAGGACCGATAGAGAGGTCCCACATTGCCGATCTAACCAACCGAATTACTGCGGAGGTCACGTGAAAAATACATCATTTCTATTTAGTTTCGAGCGACACTTCTCCCTGGGGGAAACTTATAGGTTGCATTAATGCGGGATCGAAATCGATTCTAAAATCACTATATGAGCTTACGAATTCATTTAACATTGTACTAATTTGGTTGGGTAATTTGGTAGTATGGAATGAATGTCTCGATAAAATTTGTTTTGCTCCAAAAGATAATAGCTTCACAAATGGATCTTCGCTCCCCGTAAGATCAATCACTCCCGATGCTATAGGAGTTTTTACTTCAATGGTTCCCAAATCTAAACGTTGTAAAATGTTAACTACCTCGGTATATACACTTAAGCTATCTTCCGAGCATTCGCCTTGTATCTTAGTACTCTAAAATAATTAATTTTTATTAGAAAATCCGACAATGTTAATATATGAGACCCCAAAAAAATCTAATATAATTACTTACACATTTGCCCAATATAAAATTAATATTCTCTCGAATTATAGCTTTATTTTGCTCTTTTTCGTCCAATTGACGCTAGAATAAAACATTACTTTAGTTATTTTTGTAAGAATTACTTTTTAAAAATTAATTTAAAATACTCTTACGAACAAATACTTTTTAATTGTGTGAGAAAATAATTATTTTTTTTATTATTTTAGAAAATGTTCATTATATATATTATTAAGATTACACAGATTGATAAAATATAAATAGATGAAAATATAAATAAGCTAGTCTATTTATTATCAATCAATAATCGTTTAAATTGTTACATTCTCCCCTCCCTAAGTTTTGACGTCCTCGTCAATTCAAATTCTTTAACTTTTCTTTCCGCATTCTTTAAATGTTTAGCAGGTTCCCAAGGGTCTGATTCATTTCGTCGAAAGTTCATTTCATCGAAAAATATTTCGTCACAAAAAAAAAAATTTAATTAAACAAATTTCTCCCACACACTCCGCTTTCCTCATCTAATTTCTTAACTAGTTTCCCATACTCCTCACATCTAACTCTTTCGGTCTCTGGCTCGAGGATGAATAATTTTTGACGAAATGAACATTCGATGAAACAAACTTTCGACAAAATGAACATTCGACGAAACGAACATTCGACGAAATGAACTTTCGACGAAATGGGTGTCGACGAAATGGGTGTCGACGAAATAATTTTCGACGAAGTAAATGCGACCGGTAACAATTTAGTGTAAATGAGTCGGCATACTGGAAAAGAAGGAATGAAATTATTATGCTTCCCTATAGTGGTATTCTATTAGCCAATGGTAGTTATGTTGAATGATGAATGGACAAGTACCATTAGGCAAAAAGAGTTGTTAAATAATACATTGTGTAAGTATAAAAGTCATAATGGAAAATTTAACGCAAGCTTTCAACATTCTGTATCAGGTAAATATATTTATTTGTGTGTTTCAAACTATTGGCAAGTAAAACTCTTTTAGTAATGCTCGTCATATTATAATAGGACTTCTTTTTTACACGGCGAAGGTGACCGCAACACTATAATTCAGGTTAATATTGAGTGTAAATCATTACCTAAACAGAAAAAATCCACAAACCAGATTTCGAGGTCGCGTTAATAGAGTTTTCCTATTTATAATAATATATATAAAATATCTGAACCAAAGAAAATTTCTAAAAAGTAAAGATTTTAATGCGACAAAAAAGTTTATTATAATAATATATATATATATAAATTAAATATTTTGTTAGTAAAACCAAGTCAATACACAGTTAAAAGGTGACTTAAACAATAAAATACAATAAATTATAATAAAATAAAAAATAGAAAAAATGACAAGAGTGACAAAATCTTCAGGTGGGAAAAAAAGAAAAAAAATTATACAAAATCCTGAAAAAAAACAAAAATTAGAAGGGCATTCTCAAGAAAATGAACAAAAAAATACATCTCAATCAGAAACTAACAAAGAAATAGAAGAAATAGAATCTATTAATACAATCAATGATAATAAAAACATTTTAATTGAAGATGTTGATATGAATGAAAGTATGGGAAATAATGATAGAGATTTTATTGTTATCACAAAACAGACTACATACATAGCAGTGGCTCCTTTGGAAAAAATTAAAGGTAAACACCCTCGTGAAAAAATCATCAATATAGGGATAATTTTTGCTAAAACTGCAGGTTATACTGGAGCCTCTACTCGAACCATCAACAAAAAAAAATACATAGCAATTTTTTTTGATAACCAAACTGATCTCAATTTAGCAATTGGAACACCAATTCAAATTTCTGAAAATGAAAGTTATCAATTTGTTGAAATCAACACAATTAGAATCAAACCAACCAACGAACAAATTAATGAAATTAATGCATGCACAATTCAGGTGTGTGATATTCCATTGGATATCAAAACCCCTATTATTCGTTCAACATTTTCTAGATTTGGGACTATTGTCAAATTATCAGTGCAAACACGTGGTTTATATCAACATGCTTTTATTACTTTTGCAGAAAGCCAAAACATACAAGAATTTCACACAAAAACATGGTCTGTATACATTCTCAAAGACTCTACTCGTGTTATTCCTCTGACGTTAGATGAAGAACAGAGGAATAATAGAAGAATTTACAGTATTAAACTCTCTGGCTTTCCTGCAGGAACATCTGCAAGAGACTTGCATGATATCAGTCAGGAATTTTGCTAAATCGGGATGTGTAACAAACAATGTTCTAGAAAATTTTTCCCCAATAAAATTTCGTAAAAAAGCCATTTTTCTTTATTGATCTTGTGACTTTTTTTTTTAAGAAACCTAAAAAAAAAACCAAAGAATTATATAGAAACGCATATATTAAACCATAATCAGTCAATAATCAGTTCGGAGCGTTGAGGGATCTCAGTGATCTGAGTACTGAAAAAGTTGGACAACAGAAGGAATAGTTTGAATTTATAAATTTTTATATTGTTCATTTATTTAATTATTACATTATCTGTTAATGATTTAATGATTAGCAAGTCAAGATTTTACAAACACATGAACTTTAAAAGAAGTTAATTAATGATTTCTTCTTCGTTGTAAGTATTTTCTTTTTGTAAATTTTCTAGCTCATTTAATATATCTATTAATTCACTTTTCTTTTTAGAAACTATTGTACTATATTTTAAATTGATATTATTGTCAACTTGATTAAGAAGCTGTTCTATTCTTTTTAGAATTTCTACACGAGTAAATCTTAATTCATTCTCTTCTTGTTGGGTTACTGGAATACATTGAGATAATGAATTTTTATTTTTTCTACTAAATACTTCAATAATATAATCTTGTCTAGCTTTTTTTGCTAAATTGGTAAAATCTTTTAATTGATCACTTAACTTAGATTCTCCACCAAGACCTTCAAAATTAGATTTTATAATTGTTGGATTAAGAAAATTATTCTTTCTCAAAAAGGCACAAAACCTGTTGCATTCTGTGGATGACTCGGGGCGATTTCTTGGGATGTTTATCAAATTATCATTATATCCAATTGTATTAAAAAAATTTGTTCTCAACTATTAAAATTTAAAATCTTAAATTAATAAAAATTAATTAAATAATAATTTAATTTATTTAAAATTACCTGGATAAATTTTTTGCAGTTACGTGCAGCAACTTCCCGGTGATGCAACTGTGGTGTTGTGGTATTAATGATTTTAATACTTTATTTATTTCTTCTAAAATTGTATCAATTCCTTGATGCTGATTGTATAATCCTGATCTTGATATTACACAATTTTTTTCAATTAGATTATGTATGTTTGGATGAAGTTTGAGTAATTGTTCTTCATCTGCAACTTCTATCAATTGATAAATAGGATGGTGACGAGCAGACCAAATAGGTGCAAATACTCTCTGTGCTGTGCTTTTTAATAGAGGATGGTTGGTACATATAGCTGTTCAATAACAAATAATTGCTTGTAAATAATAAAATATCTATTTATAAAATAAAAGGATTAGTTTTTTCTTTTCTAAAAATTATAATAATAATTAAATAATACTTGTTCAAATTTTAATTGATAAATAGGATCTTCTTGTTTTTTAGCCCAAGCTAAGTAATTATGAACTGATAAATTTGAATGGGTTTTTACATATGGCCATACAAGTTCTAGAGCCATTGCTTCACGATATATATTACATATGGAATCCCATGCTTTATGATGGTCGCCACATTTTTTAAAAAAAGATAGTTGCTTATCAGATCTATATCCTTGGCCTATTGCAAATTGTTTAATATCAATTTCCCTAATTAAATAGTAAGTATATTTAAAATTAGTTATATGTGAACTTATTAAAAAATTTTTGTTATGATAAATATAAATACCAATTTAATTCAACATATGCACGAAGCATATTCATTTCTTCATGTATAAGAACCAACCAAGGAAATTTCTCCTTAATTTTACATGCATGATGATAAGGAATTCCATCACATGTTACAGATATCCATTTACGCACTCCATCCTTAATTCCTGATATTTTTTCTATATGTTTAAGAATCTTCTCAACATTTACTATAGAATTAGGATTAATATTTAATGGATCAGGAACATAAATATCAGGGGTCTGAACATCTTGATCAGGAATCAAATTTTGTGTATAACTTATTCGTGGTAAGGAAGCAATTTTAGATTCATTTTCAGGATTATATGGTTTAAAGATAATTTCTTTCATTGATTTGTCTGATAAATTTTTTTCTTCAACTATAGATTCGAAATTTTTTTGTAATTCAGTTAAAGTTGGCAAAGGCGAATAACATTTTGGACAATTTTTTTTTCTGTTTTCAATATTTTTCTCATTACAGTTTAGACAATATTTACTACTACTGATATTTGAGGTATTTTCTATAAGGTTATCAATATTGTTGGTCAGTTGTGATTTTTCTTCATTTAACTTATTAATAATCTCATTAAGATAAAGATGAAGTTGATTGTCAAATTCCTGTTGCATTTGAGGTGTAAGATCAAAAAGTTCTTTGTACTGTAATTGTGAGAGAGATTTATGCAACCAAGGATCATATTCATGTTGTGACATATTTTTTGAATCCATATTAAATGCTACAAAACTAGTAACTATATGGTAGATTACAGTATTAAATCCACGGTCAAGATAATTTTTTTGTCCTTTTTGCTCATTGTCAAAAGCAAGAAATAGAAGTCCTTCAGGTAGAGGCTCTTGATCTTTTGATAACTCATCCAACCACTTTAGGAATCGAGAATAACTCCCTCCACTAGTGATATAATTATCTATGTTAATGATTTTTTTTGAATGTGCTAAAGAATATTTTATGGAAGATGCAAGCAAGCTAATTTCAGATACATATTTATTATATCGTGAGCCATATATTGCATCAACTGCAATTGCTCTTTTAAAAGCTTTTGTTTGATTTGAGTCATCATCATAATATTCATTTTGTGTTAAAGTTTCAATAAATTTGACAATGACTTCATTTCGTTTGCTTAACCAATACTCAGGATTGTAATTTAATAAATTTTCTAATGAAAATCTATCAGTATTTTTAAATAATGAATCCACATCATTAAAAAAATTTTCACGCTCTGCTAAAGCAATCTCAATAATAGCTTCAACCCTTTTTTCATGGGTATCAAATTTTTTGTTCAATTTATCAATAAGAATTTTATTACTCTCTTCTAACATTTGATATTTATAGGACAATTCATTTAATTCCTGTTGAAGTTTTTTGATCTGAATAGTAAGGTTTGAAGTGTATAACATATTCTGTTCATATTCTTTTTTATATTTATTCAACAAATTTTCAGTTTTTTTAAGTTCTTCATTAAGAATCTCATAACTTTGCATGTTAATATCTATATTTTTATTAACTCAAAAAATTTAGTGATATATAAATAATATAAAATATCTTTAAAAAATAATTAAATATTAAAACCTGAATTTATTTGAATTTCATCAACATTCATACTATTGTCATATTCTTTATCTTGTTCTAGAAAAGAATTATAAAGTTGATCAGTAGTAATTATTTGATTGTAGTGACTCTCACAAATAGAATATGATGTTAGAGAATTTTTAAGAGAAGATAATTCAGGAAAGAAATCATAAAAGAGGGCAAGACGATTAGCTGCTTTTGAACCGCTGGCATGTCGCCATGTTTGAGATTCTTTAGTTTTGCATTTTTTTAAACCTTCTTGTTCATATTTTTCAAATAAGCAACTAAAAATGCAAGGCAAATCTTTTGCAAGTGACTTAAGGTTTGTTTGTTTATTCATTTTTAAATATAATATTGAATTATGATAAGATTTAAATAAAAACAGAAAGCTCTTGATAATTTTTTAGAATGTTGATGTAAGAATTACTTTTTAAAATTAAAATATGAATATGTTTCTCTATAAACAGATATTTTAATTGTTGTAAAAATACAAGTTAACTTTATTATCTTAGAAAATATGTCCTTTTTATATTAATATAGGCAAAATACAAATAAATATAAATAATAATCTAAATATTAATCATATATTCTTATCAATCTGTCAAGACAATTTTAGAACATAAGTAAAATAAATAAAATAAAAATGTGAATTAAATTAAATGTGACAATAATTGAATGTAAACCATTATTTACGTTGATTTATTTATAAAAATTTTTATTGTAACACATAATTTTTAGAATTTATTTGTTTTTTCTAGAATGATGATCTTCCCCAAAAACTGTAATACCATTTATAGCAAAATTCCTGACTGTAATATCGAGAAAAATTTATTATAAGTGACATATGAATTTTTAAAAAATATCCTGCAAACCGAATTTATATGAAAAATCCGTTAAATCCGTTAAACCGAGATAAAATTGTTATATAAAAATTTGGTTTTGAAAATTTATCCGCTAAACTCCCAAATCCGCTATACCGAGGTCCGCTATACCGAGACTCACTGTGTAATGGGCGAATTTATAAAGAGATTTATGATGATAACATTAACGATAATGCTGAAGAAGATATCTATCTAAAAAGCTTCCATTTATCTCAGGAGGTAACAATGCTTATTTGCACAACTTTAAGATTACAGCATACCTTATCTGACCTATGTTCTATCTCCACAGACTTTACAGAATGTAACGGAGGAAATCCGTAAAATAGTCGAAAAAATAAGATCTATAGAATATCGTCTATTTGATTATCGAATCATTAATCTTTCAGAACGAAATGTTACAAATCCCGTTAATAAGTTGTCAAAATCCGAAAAGCGCATCTTAAAAGATATTTGGAACTCGGTATTGTATTGTTTGCTTGTAAGTTTAACATCTCATGTTGAAAATTTAATGATTTTGCTTGCCCTTCATAGTTAGAACCGTCAGGAAAATTAAAAGACAATTTGCCTAAATAAATGGGAAAATGTTCTACAGCCTCTTATACAAAAGTACCAAACCCACTTGGAAAATAAATCTGTTTTTGATGTGATTTCCTTGGATGGTACTATCGAAAATGTTCTTGAGAAACCGTATATTGGAACTTTTATTCACAAAGAACATTATGATCTCTTATGGATACAGGATATTTATAAACGATTGTGAGTATAAATATTCGTAACTAGTGTTATTTCCATTTGTGACATTTAATTCAAGTTTGTACTATTTATTTTTTAGTCTATTTCTTTTCAATGCACACACTAACTTACTACAGGATCCAGATCAAAACGAACTTTCTTACCGAGAAAATTTTGCGAATCCTATAATTGTCAAAGCTTTCGACGACATTATTGATTTAGTCAAAGTAAAAACGTAAGTTTTAAATTAAGAAAATTTTCTATTTATTATTTATGCCTTTGGTGACCAACAGGTTGTCTTTTGCATAGGGGGAAGTAGAACAAATCGAACAAAGCTCAAAGAAACGAAACTCGACAATATTGGCAACGGGTGTTCCCAGGACGGGATATACTCAATAAATGTAAATGCTGTTATTTTGGAAGTAGGATTCTTAGAAGTTATCGGCAACGCTCTTTATACTGATGTCAAAAAATTAAATGAAGACACTGAAAAAGTGTTTAAGTGTATGCAAATTTCCATTTATTACCAACGTCAACACTATTTATCATGTGGAGCAACAGAACAACAAGTATCTTCTATAGAGTCATACGGAATTATTGTCTATCGTAAGTAACATAGATTTAGGGCCATATATTTTATTGATCCTTATTCTTTTTATCAATCTTAGAACGAATGTTTACATTTTATGTAATGCACCAAACAAATGGAGGTTTACGCGTTGTTGATATTATAAAAGAATTTAGTATACCAAGTACTAAGGATCAATTGTATATCTTGAGAGAAGTCATCGAAATCGAAAATGTTTATTTATTTAAGGTATAAATTTTGACAGCTTTTGATGCATTTGTTTTTATGTATTCACATGCTTACTTTGTTTTTGGTATGACAGAGTCGAATAATGGACTATTATCTAGTAATGAAGAAGATCATTCCTTTTACTAAAACTCATGTTGCATAAATGAATCGCCTGTTGATACATCACCCTCTAAAGTTTTGAGGGCTTATGATGCTTTAAAATATTCTAATAGCATATGTATAATACTTTTTATTGCATTATGCTTACAACAATAATATAATTCTTGATAGTGTTTATTGTAATTTCATCATTAACAAAGTTTTATGTCTGCACGATTGCTAATTTTTAAATTTCAGTCACTTCGCAAAGTTTGATTACATTATATGATAATATAGATATGCTGAATTTTTGCATAACTCTCGTAAAGTAAATCGTTCTGGTGGTTATGGCTAAATCAACTATAAGGCAAGACGATTGTTTTGGCATTCTGATGGTCCTAAACTCTGGGTAGAATCCAAAAAAGAACCTGTTAAAATATAGATTGTATGATCGTGTTATAGACTTGTTTTTGTTAAAGGTCTGGTTAAAAATGGTGTAACCTGAATTCAACAAAAACTCGTCCTAATTTTTTTCAAACAATCGGTACATATTATTATAATTAATATGAATTGGACTGGAAGCAAAAGGTTTAGAATAAATAAATGTTTTAATTTTTTATAAATATGTGTGTGAATTAATTGCAATATAAAATATCATTAATTTATTTTTATTATTCATATAATTAGAAATAATTTCAAATTAAAAACAGAAAAAGAGAAACAACGTGAATTTTTTAATCGACAGCTTTCAAAGAATAATTTCATATCGGGAAAACAAAATAATAATCACAACATGATGGAAGATAAAAATTATCTTGATCATAAAATAACAACTAAATCGTTACCATCATCAATATTATTTGATCTTGAACATTCGAAAGCAAATATTTTAATAAATGATCATAAAATTAATTCTGCTTTTGATTTGATCACTAAAGAAAAATTAGCAACTGACACAAGCTTGCAACAAAAAAATATCGATTCTGGTTATATATTTTTAATATTTTTACATTATCATTTGAAATATTTTCTTGTAATTTATATTAATAATTTATTATTATTATTATTATTATTTAAAAGATATTGAAAATCGTAAATTACATCTACTAAAAGACAATGATGATTGGGCAGGAATTAATATTTCTTCAATTATTACAGTATTTAACAATATTCTTATTATTATCATGAAATATTCATCTTATAGCATATTAAATATTGACATTTGGTCTTAATCCCCCCTACATATGTATGTATAGAACATTTTAAAAAGATCAGGTAAAAAATCAATTTAATATATACTTTTTGAATTTAATCATTATTTCTGTTATAAAATCATATTTATTTTTATTTATTTATTATTAGAGAAAAGCGAGAGTAGTGATGCTCATGACCCAATTGAAAACCGAAATATTAGTGACAATGGTTTACATAAAAAGTAAAGATCGATCGATTGATTATTTGATCTATATTGATTAAAATATTTGAATGCCAATTATTATATTATTCTTGCAAATAAATTTAGAAATAAACCTGAAAAGAATAAAGTGTTATATGAGGAACCCGAACCATCACCACATTCATCATCAAGAGAATTTACAAATATTAATTCAATATCATCAGTAAGAAATTTTGCTACTACTTTGATAGCACCTTCTATCAGTTCGGATTCATTAAAATGGCATGATTTTTTGAGAAGTAAAAGTGATGATGTCAATGATGATAACTTGACAAAAATAGAGAACAATAGCATTTCTCATAAATCAACCACATCTGATATTATTCAACAACAGGATGATAATTCAGGAACTTTATTATACAGTCTAAAAACCATTTCAACTGCCACATTAAATAGCAATACAGAAACCAAATCAAAATCATTATCAAGTTCAAATTTCAATAATGGTTTAATAGAACACAATAGCCACGTTGACAGTGATTCAGATCCCATTTTGAACAATAAAAAGATCAAATCCACAAAAATAAAAAAAGACAAATTGAAATTAATTGGGAAAAATAACAAAAGAAAATCAAAAGCATTATGTATGTACAAATTTGCTTTTATAAAAAATTTGACCAATCTTTAATAAATTATTGATTGATTAAATAATTGCAAACAGATTCAAATGTTGAAGAACGGGTCGGTAAAAAAGCAAACATCTTTCTTTTGAATTTTCTTTTCTGAAATATAAACATGCATGATAATTACAATTACTAAAAATGAAATAAACAGGATGAAATCAATCGACGTATTCATAATCTTGAAAAAAAAAATGCTAGACTTCAGTTGGATGTAAATTTTTTAAAACAAGATTTAAGATGGTTAAAAGATAATGAAAACACTTTTCAATCAGATTTCATGACATTAAATCAAGAAATCCATAATATAGAAGAAAAGCATATTCAAGATGATAACAATGATGATGGTCTTGATATTGACAATGATGATGATCAATCATCAAACACAAAACATCTTTCTCAAGATAATTGTTTATACTCTATAAATGTCACAGAATTAAATTCTATTTCAAATAATGATTCAAATAATCTGCCAATAAACCAAGCAACTAAAATATCAACTCGAGATATAATCACTAATTCTTGTCATGAAAAAGATTATACTAGCACATTATCAATACCATTGCCAACAATAACTACTACATTGCTGCTACCACCATTAGAATTATTAGCAAAGAATGCAAACCTTTCTCCAATCAAGACCAATTCAATTGATGATGGTTACTGCAATTATAGTGATGGTGACAATGAAATCGAATTTGTAGATTCACCAACTTTGAAATACTCACGTGTCAAAAATTCTAAAAATATTTATTAATTCTGAAGATAATTCAATTGCAATGATGAATGCTTTAGGAGAATTTTAGTGATAATTTTCCTTCCAAAAAAAAATAATTTATTGAACACTAATATTAATAATACATATTCAAAGTTAGACTATATTGATTTACATTATTTTAAAAATAAAAAATCATTGCTTATTCAAGAAATAAGAATAAATTACAAATTTCAGGGCTTTCTTTTCTTTATCTGATAGTTAACTTCATATATTATTCACCGGTAAGACACATGCCTCATAA